GTCAGTGTGTCTCGGTTTATTTATTTGATTGATCCGTTGTTCGTCGCCGATCGTTGCATCGTGTGTGTGTGTGTGTGTGTGTATGTGTGTGTGTGTGTATATGTATGTATGTATGTGCAGCTTTGGTTGCCGTGGAATCTGATCCTTCTTTTTCATTGGTTTGGCACAGAGTTCGCTTCTCTGCCCGTTTGTTATGGTATTTTTTTTGTGGTAATCCTGAAGCGCTCCGTCCATTGCACATTATTTTTGCGGCACTTTTTCTGGCCAGAACCGGCGATTTTTTGGCATTTTTTTGGCTCGATCATATGCACTTGGCCAAGCTTCGTCTCCTTTTTGACTTAATTCTACGCATTTCTGGCTCCATTTTGCACTCCTCCGCTCAAATTTTGTGAATTTCGAGCCGCGATTAGCGCCCTCTCGCACTTTGCTGATCGGACCTTACGTTGTTCTGACCAAATCTCATTCCTTACATCTTACACTTCTGGTCAAGTTTTGTAGTTTTTTGTCCGGTTCTAGTGCTTTTCTGGCCAAATTTTATATGAATTGAGCAAGATTTCTCTTTTTTTTGCCAAATTTTACATGAACTGAGTAAGATTTCTCTTTTTTTGCCAAATTTAATGTTTTTCTGACGAATTTTACACTCTTTTCGCTAAAAAAAATGCGTTTTCATCGGCAGCTTTGCCAACACAAATGGCTGCTGTTCACGCTTGCTAACCTCGAATACTTCAGGATTCTTTCGCTTCTCCCCTTACAGAATGCATACGGTGGAGGTTTGAAGGGGTTTTAGCGAAAACCTATGTGTAAAAATTATATGATAACCAAGGCCTGAGTACAGAAACCCCTTCTAACAAATTCCATTGAATCTCCACGAATTTTGAATTTTAAAATTGAAGTTTTGGTGGTTTATAATTATGAAAAATTGTAAGGAAATAAAAAAGGGAAATGTGAATAAAATAAGATTAAAATTTGAATGTAAATATTTCGTTCCATCAAGTCGCATACATTCCTATTCAGTGCTGCAACTGGACAACTCGTCAGTGTGACGGTTGAAAATTTCTCGGGCTGAGATTACCGCGCAAATTTCGCTGACTCAAGCTTTATGCATTGTCTTATTGTGCTTGACCGAACTTACTGTAAGCATTCGATGTAATTAGTATCAGTTTTTGTTGAATTTTTTTTCAGGATGAGCACTACCAGCGCCGCGGCGGTGACACAACGTTTGGCACCGAAACGACAAACCCTGGATGAGGCATATGCGCCACCGGCAAATTTCCTGGAAATTGAAGTGATCAATCCCATCACACATGGAGTTGGAAAAACACGTTACACTGACTATGAAATTAGACTACGAGTAAATTTTGACCGTGAAATTTTTCGTTTTCAAATAATTTTCTCAATTACTTTCACTGGTTTTTCTCGATTAAAAATCATTGTTTATATATGACATTTTTATTTTTAACAGTTTTCTTTTCTAAAAAAATTTTCTTTTTTTTTTGGCTGGTATGAGACTTCGTGGAGTTTTACACGATCCAAGCTGGTTGCTTGTTTGTTTTCAAGGATCAAGAAATCTCCGAACTTTTCGAATTTTTTGCAAAATTAGCGGCGCAAATTCTCTAAAGCGTTTTTTATTTTTTACGCTGTACACATCCAGCGTGGGACAACAGTCTAGCGTAGCTGCGCGCTCGGCATGCGTTTTGGTAACTTTGAGAATTTCGCATTGATAGTCGGAAGGTTCTTCTAGTCTGAAATCTGTAATTTTTGGTACGTTTCAAGAAAATTTTGTTTTGTTTCAGACGAATTTGCCTGTGTTTAAGAACAAAGAATCGAGTGTGCGCCGTCGTTATTCTGATTTCGAGTGGCTACGATGTGAACTAGAGCGTGACAGTAAGGTATGCTTGTGTC